TCTCAGTTTCCCATACAAGCTGATTTGTCTTACCAGGTTGGGGCAGAACTACCTATAACTCACACAGGACACAAACTTTACCAGTGTCATGATTGTAAAAAATCCTTCATTGATGTCTCCAGCTTTGATCTTCATCAAAAGTTACATGCAAGAGTAAAGTCTCACACATGTGATGAGTGTGGAAAAAACTTCGGTTATAGCCCAGCTCTTTGTATTCATCAGAGAGTTCACATGGGAGAGAAACGTAAGTCTGATGTGTATGGTAAAGAATTCAGCCACAGCTCACATCTGCAAACTCATCATAGGGTCCACACTGTAGAGAAACCATTCAAATGTGTAGAATGTGGGAAAGGCTTCAGCCGTAGATCAACACTTACTGTGCATTGCAAATTACACACAGGAGAGAAACCTTATAATTGTGAGAAATGTGGTAGGGCCTTCATACGTGCTTCCCATCTTCAAGAACATCAGAGAATCCATACGGGGGAGAAACCATTTAAATGTGATACATGTGGTAAGGACTTCCGCCGTAGATCAGCACTTAATACTCACTGCATGGTCCACACAGGAAAGAAACCGTATAACTGTGAGGACTGTGGAAAGTGTTTCACTTATAGCTCAAATCTTCGTATCCATCAGAGGGTCCACACAGGCGAGAAACCTTACAAATGTGAAGAATGTGGTAAGTGTTTTATTCAGCCTTCACAATTTCAGGCACATCAGAGAATCCATACAGGAGAGAAGCCATATGTATGTAAAATATGTGGTAAGGGCTTCATTTACAATTCAAATTTTCATGCCCATCAGGGAGTTCACACTGGAGAGAAACCATACAAATGTGATGAGTGTGGGAAGAGGTTTAGGATGAAAATCCAATATCAAGTACATCTGGTAATCCACACAGAAGAGAAACCTTATAAATGTGAGGTATGTGGGAAATCCTTCCGTCAGAGTTCATATCTTAAAATACATCTGAAAACACATAGGGTGGAGAAACCTTATAAGTGTGAAGAGTGTGGACAGGGCTTCAATCAGAGTTCGCAACTACAGATTCACCAGCTGATCCATACTGGTGAGAAACCATACAAATGTGAAGAGTGTGGAAAGGGATTCAGTCGTAGAGCCAATCTTAAAATTCATTGTAGAATCCACACAGGAGAGAAACCTTATAAATGTGAGGTGTGTGGGAAAGCCTTCTGTCAGAGTTCGTATCTTAAAATCCATCTGAAAGCACATTGTGTGGAAAAACCTTATAAGTGTGAAGAGTGTGGACAGGGTTTCAGTCTGCGTTCACGGCTGCAGATTCACCAGCTGATCCATACTGGTGAGAAACCATACAAATGTGAAGAGTGTGGAAAGGGATTCATTCGTAGAGCAGATCTTAAAATTCATTATAGAATCCACACAGGAGAGAAACCATATAGTTGTGAGGAATGT